CCCATCCACCGCCCGCCCCACCCACCGCCCGCCCCACCCACCCACCACCGCCCGCCCCACGCCGCTCTTGCCCACACCAACGCCGCCCCGGGCGCGTAGTGTGTGGTGGCGTGCGATGAAAATGATGAAGAACGGCGCTGAGCGTTGGATAGAAACTCCAGTATTTTTCTCGAATCAAGACGCTTTAGACGTAGTGTAGTTTTTGACATTGCTGCGTCGTAGATGGTTCTTTTTATTCGCACTACTGTAACTGGCGAAGCTGCATCCAGATCGCGCTGTTGCAAGCAACCGCCCTTGATATGAGCATGACGAGGGAATGGTGGACGTGAGTGGTGTGAATTGCTGCACCGCATGGAGAAGAGGGAGTAGAATCAATCGCCAGGAAGTAAATATAGTCTTTTCGTTTTTAGGTCCTCATGGTCTGTTCTTGGCGTGGCTAAGGAGCTGATGTCGTTCGTTTCCCCCTCGAACCGTTGAGACGAGTGGAGTTGCTCTTGTAGGCAGCGCATTTTCAGGACCAACTTGGGGCGTTCTACTCAAGAGCACAGGTTAGAGTTACATACATAAATGAATTTCTTGGGCGATGCACTTGCCTTTATACAAACTCCATGGCGGCTAGAAATTAAAACTATGGATATAATTGTAGACGTTGCAGCCCTCATCTTCATGATTGACAGAATTAGCGCGAAGTTGTAAGATACTCAGAACACGGTAAAAATAAAGATTATGATGACCACGAACAACGAGAGCACTAGCCTGCAATATCAAATAAAGATTGTCGCTTCGCATTTTGATTTTTCGTGCAGAATGCATTGTGGCCCCCGCTCGAGCTCATCTGCGAATTGAATTACAGTGAGACCTCCACCACGCGCGGACCAGCTTATGGGTTGCGGTGGATCGAAGAAAACCGCCGTAGAGCCGGCGTCTCCGACTACACCAGAGCCTCCGCGACAACCAGAGGAGCAGCCTGGCAAGCAAATTTCTTCATCCGCCCCCGCGAAGGACCTCGACGTGGGGACGGAGCAACACGATCATGATGTAGCAGCAGCAGCCCAAGATGAACTTGCACAGAAAGCGAAAGAAGATGAGGAAGAATTGCAAGCGCGCGCCCGCGCAGCGGCCGCTGAACAAGAAGGACAAAATCAGCCCGAGGGTCATCAAGCTCAAGGGGAGGTGGAGGTGCAAGTTTTTGAGCTGGAGAACCTGCCAACTGAGAGCGGTACAACTACATCCGCTGACATTTTTTCCAAGAAAAGGGAGCGAAAGCAGGGTCGAAGAAGAAGGGCCTCGTCATCTGACGGTCCATCTGGACGAGCCGTCGAGGGCGACCAGGACGATTCCGCCGGGTCCGGATCGTCGGTATCAGACCAGGAACAGCTGGACACGCTGCTCGTCACGCAACAGCGGTCCGGGTCCGAGGCACACGGTAGTTCTCGGGAGGACAGCGAGACGGACGATAATTTCATAGCAGGCCAGTTGCCGCTAGAAGGAGAAGGTCCCTCTCCGACAAAGAAGAAGGCTCGGCGAGCGAATCTGGAGCCGGCGTTCCCGGCGCCAACGCCAGCCCAGCAGTACGCGTACGAGCGAGTGCCGGACAAGGTCTTTTACAGTCCGGGGAAACTACCGATCCCCGTGCGGGCCGTCGAGACAGAACCCAAAGACACCCGCGTGAAGGGACAGCAGAATGAAGAAGGTACTAAACTGATGAATCGCGTTCCGAGCATGATCATGATTTTGAAGATCGCGCTCACGATCCGTGTATGACCATCATGAGCGGTCAAGGGAGTTGTCGTTCTTCTTTTTATCGCGAAGGTAATGGCTCTTCTTTGAACTTGAAGAGAACTTTTGCTCACGATACAACTACTGGCCGCCGGGATTACAACGATTAGTACTTTCTTCATCAAGTTTGCCTGCTGCAAATCCAAATGATTCTCGTCAGCAATGGCTTATAGCTCGTACGTTTACGTATAGAAAACTGAACTGCGATGTTGGGTATGACATTGTCGCTTTTTCCTTTCTATCAGGCACGATCTCAGTGGAGCAGCTGACTGAGGAGCGGCTGCAGCTGGCGGAGGAACAGGACAAGGAGGCGGAAAAGGTGGAAGAAAAGCTGGAGTATGATAGTGGACAACACAACATCCCCCTCCCGCTCGTTTGCTTGATTTTTGCCTCCATCTACTTACAGCAAGAGTAAGAGAAGTTCTAAAATTGACACTCAGCACCAGCTTCTGCAAGACAATTCATGTGTATTGTAAGTAGTGCTGTTTGTTGTCATCATTAGCTTGTCAACTACTACATCCAAGAAACAGTGTCGCAACAAGGACAAGATAACAATTGACGTTCTTAAAGTAGCATTACAAACGCCGCCGGGAAGGTCATGATGAGTTTTGTTCACTCGGATAAAGAAACCGTGGAGCACAAGACGCAGATGACGGCGACGGAACTACGAACGTTGCAGGCCAGCCTGATTGTGGAAGCGCTGAGCCCCAAGCGCAACAACGGATCCGTGCTCAGTCCAAAGCGCCAAAAGGAAATCATCCAGCAAATACTGCATCCGGAGATGACAGCTGGGACAAATACGGCTGGAGGCGGAGCTGGTGGCAAGGATTCAGCCGAGAAAATAACAGGGGCTGGTGCTGGCGCAGGTAGAGGTACTTCTAGCGGGGTGTCGTCCACTTCCCCATTGGGTTCTTCATCTTCCCCCCGTGCACCGGCAGCTAAGTAGTTCTTCGCCGAGGTAAGGAACAATTTGGATGCAAGGCTGGAGACTGCGACTGGAACGAGACTTGTGGTCTGGAGCAGGTTGGACCGGAGTGGTCGTCGACACGGTGGTGCCGCGAGAAGATGAACACAGAAAGGGCTACAAGAACTTCAACCAGTTGTACCAGTAGTGCTCCATGTTGGCTTTTTGCGTTGCCTTGGTGAGCTCTACGAATATTGTAAACTCTGGTTTCGTCTGTTACTGTTTCTAACGCCATTGGGTGGAAGCACCAATTCAATGTTTCTAAATTCAACTTCTAGCGTTTAGTGTGGTGCCTAGTGGTGCTTCTCATGAGCGGTGTGCGCGCTGTCAGCCAATGCCCCGAGACGCTTAATACTGAAAGGAAGTGTTCCTCCCGTTGCACTTGCAGACGCCACTGTACTTAGGCTTGCTCTTGAATTACGTCGCTTTTTCACGTCCAGCACCCACAGAAGCGTGGTTTTTGTTTTACTTTCCCGTCAAACGTTGTCGTGTTGACTGCGTTTCTGTTCGTGCAAAGATCGCAATAAAAATCGTCCTCTAGTATTGTTAATACCGTTCGCTCTTCGTGAAATCTGAGTTCGAAGTTGTTCGTAGTTTCTTGTCTTGGTCTTGCGCGGCTATGTCGTCTTCGTACCATTTTGTGGCAGCGCGTTGGCTCCTCTGCGTGCAAGTGAACTTTTTTTGTTCATCTACTCGTAAAAAAGTGAACTGCGGCTACTCCTACTTCCAGCTGAACTTAGACTTACTATATTCAGCGTCGTCGTTCTTTCAGCGACATGCCTACTTACTACCTATAGTTCGTTCGTCCTGATTTTCAAAGTTGTGTAATTTAGTCCTCCACCGACAATACAACAAACAGGCTTTAACCTTAAGCTTCTACTTCCCCTGGATGAACTGGCAATAAATTTACGTGTGCCCCCCTAGTACTATCCGACGTAGAAGTTCCCATAGTTTTGACTCATGCTTTGATCAGGCGTACTGTCTTGTTGAAGTGTATGGAGCTCCACTTCTACCTCAGCAGCCAGTTTACAAAGTCCATTGGTCGATGTGGTCCTCACGCTGAAGTGCAGCACGACTACCACCTTGAAGCTATGGCTATGACAGCTTCGAAGATGAAGAAAGAGCTGCGGGGATTTTCGAAGGTGGTCATGGTCAAGCTCCTTCTGATTGCGCATAACCTCTTTCTCCACGAGCACGATATCGAGCTTATTGGTTTCCGCTACACGACCCTGCTTGGTCCCTGTGTAGTTAATGCACTGAAACTGACCGGGCAGCATCAAGAACACGGTAGCAACTTGCAGCAATGGAAGGAGCGCAGAGGACGCAGCCACAGTCTCCTGGAGGAGAAAAGAAAGAGTAACAAGGGACGGAACGATCCGCATCCAACTGCGACAACTTCTACAACGAGTCCTCCCGCCCCTGCACGGCCACTTTTGGGCGGAACAACTACAGACAGAAATCTTCAACGCCCTGCAGCAGCGCGACATACAAAGCATGAGGCGCACCGGAAGGTGGGTGAGCCCGTCGTTTTTGTCGTTGCGCCGGATGACGGACACCTGGTCAAGGAACTCTCCACCGAAGCAGACTTAGCCCACACTCAGGATCTTGCAGAAATGAGCAGGCGGGGGCCGTTGAGACCACCGGCAGGTAGTGCTGGAGCAACATCAGCTTCCACTCCGTCAGAAAATGGTGAAGTGGATGCTCAAAATGTCGGAGTTTCCTCAGCATCACCGTCTCCCACTGCTGGTGCAGAGGAAGTTGTGCTCAACCAGAATGCAGCAGCGTCGAACAACAGTGCAGTTGAGAACAACAAACCCGCCAGTAGAATAGCAGCAGCTTTTTTGGAACGTAGTAGACATGAAGAAACAGACAGAGCATGGAGGACCACCACCAGCACGACGGTGGAGAGAAACAAGCAAGAAGAAGCGTCAGCATCATCCTCATCCACCCGGTTGAACCTCGAGCCTCCCGGTGTGGACATGGCGATCCGCGACGACCCACCAAAAATCTGGCAAGACACGCTGAAACTCCACAATCTCTACCGCTGCATGCACGACGTGCCTCCTTTGGTGTGGAGCGACGCACTATCAAATGTAAAAATGTCTGGGTCTGGAAGATTCTGAGATTTGTCATGCAGTTTTTCCAAGCTCCGCCAAGTCTCGAATGCAGGGCCTAGCACCACAGGTTCTGCAGCCCCTTGGTGATGCCTATTCTGCATTTGAAATGTCCCCTCGGCATTAGGGGTTCAAGTAGAAGATCACTAGGGTTTACTCATCGGGGAGATAACCTCGTACAAAATCGGCACCCTTTTTTTTACTTTCTTTTACCACTTTCCTAGCGCTATAAGCTCCTGCCGGGGTCTGGTCGAGAAGGCAGACCGAGATCAGCGGATCCGTTTCTTTTTGTTCCTCCAGTGTGGAGCGGCAGCACCATCGTGGTGCTTTTTTTCCCCGCGACGCGATCACTGGATCCTAGTAGCGCTAGACCCCTTTTCGCAGGCGCTCCTAAAGTGAGCCTTTTGCCGGTGCTGGCGCACTAAAAAAGAACCTCGAGACGGGGAAAAGCAGAAGCACGAAAGAGAAGACGGAGGCGGGGCACAGAAGAAAAGGGGAGTGGGGCATTAGGGAAAAAGAAGAGAAAAAAAGACGAGCGGGGGGGAAGGACTAAAGAACAAAAAAAAGAGCTGCAACTGTCTGGGAGTTTGCATGTCGAAGTCGTTCGGACTAGGTTTATTACCAAAGTGGCGCCAGGGTTGCTAATTTAAAGACTGCGCTAAGGCAGCACCCCCCTTCCCCAAGGGGTCCCCCCGGGGCGGGCGCGGTGGCGGCTCTGCAAGCGCGGAGCTCCGCGGGCCGATTCTCTGAAAACGCACACAAAAGGGTGCTGGAAGCAGATCGGTAAGAAGTGTCTCAAAGGGACACGCCGTTGGGTCGTCCGCCATCGTGATAGGATCACCGTGTCTGATCATTAGACCCCCTGTATATTTTTTAGCGCGCAACCGGTCACAGAGGTAAGTCCTTGAGCAAGTTTGTAAGACTAACCCATCAAGGCAATGCTGGAGCTCCACCTTGCTCGTGGGCTTGGATGGTAAGGCAGGTCAGCCACACATAGCGCCCACTGGTTGTAGCCATGCGTAAGCAATCGATAGCGGTTTTGCAGGTGCAGCCGGGTGGTAGTTAGGAAGTGGGCAGCGTCTCCACCTAGGGGCATCGGCAGAGGCTAAATCTGTTCTAACGCCCAGGTATTGGCAGAGGCTAAATCTGTTCTAACGCCCACCCGCCAGGAGTTAAATGGTACTACTACTACTACTACTATGGCATGGCTAGACATGGGGACCTTTTGCAAGTCATGCAACACAGATTTTTGTATGATTCGCAACACGCATCACAAGTTCGCATCCACCTTCCAGACCCAGACATTTTTACATTTGATACGCACTCGCCCGGTCCGCCGAGAACTACGCCCAGAGCGAGAACTGCCAGACGCTATGAATTGCAAAAGTATCGTACTAGTCTGAATTGCAATACAAATTTTCTCAGCATGAGAAATAAAATTTGTATTTGCGGATTTAACTTGAGAAAGAAATTTGTAATGCATGAATGGGATTACTACGAGTGCGATACTTTTGCACAGGATAGACGCAGGACTTGTGCAATTCGGAGCACAGCAACAAGGACGTCTACCGGACGAAAACCCCAAACTTCCCCATCGAGGAAGACCCGCCACGGGTGTGGACCGCATTTCTCGGGGAGAACCTAGCTTGGGACACCTATCAAGTGTAAAAGTGTCTGGGTCTGGAAGAATGCAACTTGTCATGCTAAATCTAAAACATGCAAAAATCTGTGTTGCGTGATTACCAAAAGTCGTTCAGTTTTGACCTAGTCGGCAGGGAGTTTCTCATGCAGGATAGGCATGAGAGAGCTCGCGCAGCATCTGTCATGCTAGGTCCTGCCAAACAGATGTCATGGGTCATGGAAAAGCTGCATGACAAATCGCGCATTCTTTCAGACTCAGACACTTTTACACTTGATAACACCTCCTACGACACCAGTGCCGAGCCGCTGAACCTCGCCCAGGCGACGGCCGCCTGGTACGAGACCGAGGTCTGCGCCACTGTGGACACTATCCCAGAGAAAAAAGCTGGCAGGTCATATTTGTAATGCAAAAATAAATACACAAAAAAACCTTTGCATATCCGAAGCAGCATGCTATGGGGCCGCCCATGACAATTTTTTCTGTGTGCTTATTTTTGCATTACAAATATGCGCTGCCAGCTTTTTTCTCTGGGATAGGCACGCAGAACTGCGCGGGGGGCGTGGTGGACCGCGACTGCGCGCGGAGTCTGTGGGTGCCGGACCTGTGGACGGAGTTTGTGGAAAAGTTCGGGAACGAACTCCTAGAGCAGGGCCAGCACGCCGCATTTCCGCGGGACGACTATCCCTTCAACGGGGAAGCCACGGCGGACTGGGTGCGGCGGACCAACGTGCACCCCGACCGTTTTTTTGTCCCCGGCATCCCCTCCTGCCCGGTGGGCAAGTGGACGCAGCGGGAGGACATCAAAGGTTTCGGGGGGCCGCAGACGTCCCGGACCCCGTACGGGCAGGTTGGTCACTTTACACAGATGGTGTGGAACTCCACGTCCCACGTGGGGTGCGCGTACGCCGCCGTGCGCCAGAACGTGGTGTGCCACTACGCCGTATTAAGTGCAAATATGTCTGGGTCTGGAAACTTGTGATGCATGTCAGTGAACAGGAAGCACACTGTAATGCACGGCCAAGCATGACAGATTTTCTCGTGGCTATCTGTTGCGTATCCCGCATGAGAAACATCGTTTTTTCACGACAGACAAGAGGAGGTCTTCGTGGCCACGCAATACAGAGTTCAGAGTCATGCCAAACTAGCATGAGAAGTATCGCAATCTTCCAGACCCAGACATATTTGCAATGCATACGCTGCGGCCGGCAACATTGTCGAGGCGGACGCGAAGGGGAACATCGTCTTCAAGCCGGACATATGAAGTGCAAATATGTCTGGGTCTGGAAGAGTACAAACTTGTCATGCAGAATTTTCATGCCCCATAAGGTCTTAAATGCAGGACCTAGCATGACAGATTCTGCGGGGTCTCTATCTTGCCTGTCCTGCATAAGAAACTCCCTCTCACGGTGGTCAGAAAAGGGCAACTTTTGGCGATCACGCAAGACAGATTTTTGTGTGATCCACAGGACACATCACAAGTTTCATCCTTCCAGACCCATACATAAGTATTTGCAATGCATAGGACAAGGTGTTTCCAATCAAGAAAACCTCGACGGAATGCGAAAACAGCCTCGGCGTCTACTGGCCGCAGCAGGGCCGCGGAGCGGGAGAGCAACTGCTGGGCGCGGGAAGTGCCCGAGTAAACCCGACGCCGGGCATGTACACGCCGCCGCCGCAGAACCAGAACGCGCAGCCGGTTCGTCTCGGGGGCGCTGCGGAGGGCGGGAGCAGCTCCAACGGAGATGGCGAGACGCTGCGAGCCCCCGGACAAGAACTCGTGAAGAGTTCGTCTGAAGGCGCCAGCGACGCCCCGCCGGACGCGTCCTGTTGCTGAGCTGCTGCTGCTGCTGCCAACTGCAGGAGCAGCAGGAGCTGCGGTAGCTCGTGCGCAGTTTGTACTTGTAAAGCAAAAATGTATTCAAATCAATTTCAACGTGAGTAGAAATAGAAAACGACTACTGTCGTTCGTTGCCTCGAGTTGTTATTCCTTCAATCCAGTATACCCAATTTCTATTGTTCCCCGGATTTATTTGTTTTAGTCGATTTACAACCCGTCGTGGTAACTATGCTAAAACGTCTTCCTCATAATGCCCGTTTCAAAAAGAAGAATTGCCCATCTTCACCCACAAGCGAACTAACCTCGCAAGTTTTTCCCCTTCACGATAACGCCACTTCTTCTATGGATGCGCAGTAAGCATATTAAATCCGCGAAAACTCGAATTTTGTTGGGGCGGCGAAGTCGAAGATGTGCTTTTTCGACCTCTAAGTATGCCAAAGTGATTTTGTCGAAATCCCACTGACAAATGGTTTTTATATTCATGTGGAAGACGAAACACGAAACACGAAAGCCTGGAGAAGAAGACGAGGGTCGAAGACACAGTCTCGACATTTTACTACACAGCAACGACGTAGCGACGTTGTATAAATAAGTAAAAGATAGACAGAAATAGTACGTGAGCAGATAAATCAGGAAAAAGAAAACTCGAGTTGTTGTTGGGATGAACCCAAATAAGCAGAATTAAAGGCGAAGCACCTACCTTTTTTTCGTCTGCAACAAGTGCAAGGACTTCGACTACTATCGTGATTTGGCTTCTGGTTGGATTCCTTGGGAACACAGAAAATAGAAAAAAGCACGAGCATGAGAGGGGTTTTTGGTGTGTGTGTGTGTGTTGTGTAAAGTGTGGGAGTGGCTAGCTTGCTTGCCTGAATTGCGAAAAGCGAAAAACGACGGAGAAGCTAGGAGACCGGTACTAAATAAGGCCCATTAACTTCGTCAAGGAAAGTTGGGAGCCTCGTCAGAACTGCGAAACGCGAAACGCGAAAAACGACAGAGAAGCAACGACACCGGTACGAAATCAGGCTCATGAGCTTCCTCAAGGAAAGTTGGAAGCGTCGCCAGAACTGCGAAACACGAAGCGCGAAAAGCGACAGAGAAGCAGCGACATAGGTACGGCGTCGGATTTATTAAATTCGTTAAGGAAAGCGGGGAACACTGGCAGAACTGCGAAACACGAAACGCGAAAACCGGCCGAGACGCGGCGACATGGGCACGGGATCGCCTCCCGGCCTTTTTTTGTGTTTGGATTTTGGCGCCGTGGATTCATTTTCTCTGGGATTCTAGCCGCTGCCGCCCATTCTCGATGGAGCGCTTTGAATTAAATAGGAAAGAAGTAACCGCAACAGCGGGACGGAGTAGTCTCCAATAGTAATCAACAAGAGCGAGAGTAGTGCGAGCTGAATAGTGGTCAAGATTTAGTAGGCAATCGCAGTCAATAACAGCGAGAGCGCTGCGCTTCAATAAAACAAACACAACGACGGCCCTGGATGGTCCCAAGCCCGCAACGGAGCACCTTGCTCCTCCTCCTCATCGGTATCCGAGTCGTCGTCAAAGATGGCCGCATCATCATCGTCCGAGGACACCTCGTCCCCCGGGCCGTAGCCCTCGGCCGGGACCCGGACCGCGCAGGTAGTGCCGGTTCTGGGCCGCAAGAGCTGGGCGATTAACTCCCTGACGACCTCTATGGGCGTGCCAGGACTGAAATTCTCAAAGTTGCAAAAAGTCCGATGGTGCCGCAGTTTGTTACGCAATATCGACGCCCGGCGCGCAGGCGCGTGGCATATTTCAGAAAATTACGGAGGTGGTCCAAAACTGCGCCCGCGGACGCGCGCGCGCCACAAAGATCTGCCAGCTTTGTACTGCGCTCGCTATGCAAAACGCCCCACGCCTCGCCTTTTCCAGCTTTGAGGCTTCCAAACCTGCCACGCCCATAATGTCACCCACCTCGTTGGAGTTTTTCCAAAAGTACGCGCCCATGTACACGCACTCGGGCTGCTCCAGGAGCAAGGAGCGTCGCAACCGGGAGAAGCGCATCCGCAGAGGGTGTGGATTGGGGTCGTTCACGTAAAAAATTGCTTTCGTCGAGAAACACGGCGGCCACACTGGGCAGCGCGATCGACATCACAAAGACACAGAAAGAGCGAGAAGAAAAGCGAAGGCCATGCGCCTCGCGAGTTGGTGCCTTAATGTGGCGGCGAATGTGCTTCCACGCACCCTCCACCCAGTTGCTACCGAAGTGCGGGATCTCATCGGCGCCCCGCAACTTTTTCCACCACTCCTCTGCTGGTGGTTTGCTTGCAGATGCTGTGAGGTGTTGGAGTGTTGCGCAGGTAGACAGCTTAGCACTAGCAAGGGGATCCAATGAGGAAACTCGGCGCCGCAAAAAAAAAAACGAAAAAAAGGCAGCGCGAATATCTACGATGTATGGCGCCGCTATCTCGTAGCACTTTGCTGCATCTGTCGCCAGGAAGATGCGTCCGTCCTTATGGTGGAGCCCCTCCAGCTTTGGCTCGATTTTCTTTTTCCAAATCCAGCGCCAGAGCTTCTGCTGAACCTGTTGGGAAGGGGAATACAAGAGCGATTTAGCCAGGAAACAAAAGGGAAACCAACGCACGAGCAGCCGCCAGACGCAACTGGCGCACCAATTTCCGACGTGCGTCTGCCATGGAAGCAAGACAACCAAAGAGCATACCGGCCGGAATCGCCGGCGTTGCCGCGTCGCCTGGTGGCCGAGGTCGAAAAAGAGCAGCGAATCCGGGCGGCCCCTTTGCATGAGGCCGAGGATGATGCGGGGCGTGTACTCCTTCTCCTTCTCCGGCGCGGTGTTTTTGGCGGAGCTCGCTGCGGTCTTGCCCCTGCTCTTTCCACCCGGCAAAGCGGCGACGAGGTTCGTCACGGACCCGAATGCCGCCCCATCCGCTTCCAGGCACACGCGACCGGGGAACCGCACGCCCTCCATGCCCTCCAGGTACATTTCCGCGGCCGACTGGACGGGCTTGGCCCAGTACTCGACCAGGGTGGCTACGCTCACATCTGGAAAATTTTGGCGCGGCTTTCTTGGTCGAAAGTGCTAGAACTAAAACAGAAAAAGGACCGAAGAAGCAGCCTCGCCCCGTCTATTGCGAATAGATACACGCACAGGATACAAAAAAAGCACAGACACAGGCCAAAGCAAAAGCATCTACTAAGGTCCTTGCTAGCCCGTCCCACTGCGTCCCCGTAGGCGAAGCTTCGGACGACGCGGATCATGTCCACCACCGCGATGGTGCTCCGCTGCGCGGCCCCAACCGAGCCAGGCGGGGAGAACAGGTTGAACGCCTCGGCGGTGCCGCAGGTACTGCAGGACAACAAGGCACCCCCGCCATTGCCGTCCGCAATCTTCCGCATCTTTCCACAGGCCGCGCACTTCAGCACGGTGTCCGACTTGTGCTGCGCCTTGCTGAAGAACATTTTCACCAGATCGCTCGTCTGCCTGCGTGTGATCTCATCCAGCTTCGAGGACTTGTCAGCACGGATCCCGGGCTGCCGCAGTTTCAGCTGCGCGGCGGTCAGATGCACATACCCGGACTTACCTGATGCGGGGGCTGTTTTGCGGCTTTGGCGCTTTTCTCCAACGGATTTCGTTCCTGAAAAAGTAAACAGGCGGCAACTAGGAAAAAAAAGACACACGCAGCAGGCTAATGAAATGCTGTAGGTGTGTTGCTTGTGTCCCTCGGGTGGCGCGGCGTAGCAAAAGACGTCCTCCTCTTTCTTGTAATCTTTGGAGCCGAAGAACTTCTGCATGTCTCCCTTATAGGGCGCCGGGCAATCCCCGTGGCAATTCCACGAGTTGAAGAGGTGTTCGTGGGTCTGCTTGTTGTGCGCGACATACTTTTCCTCGTCGGTGACGATGCCGCACAGACTGCAGGCGTGGGCCTCCTTGGTCCTCTTGCGTGTGGTTTCCCGAAACCAGAGCTGTTTGAGAGGTTTGGCCTCGTTCTATAAGAGATGGAAAAAGATCGCAAAACCAACGAAGCAAAGGAGTAAACGCCCAGCGGCAGCAAGACGGGCCACTTGCAACGACTTACCTTGCCCTTGATGGCCTCGCGCGTGATTTGCTTGTAGGGGAAGTCCTTCCGCTGCTTCTTCCCGGTCGGGCTGAAGTTCAGGGCCGGCAGCCGGTCCCCAGCAGCCGCCTTCCGGTTGGCGTTTTGCTGGGCAACATTCGCGCGCTTCATTGTTGTTAGTTCAGCGAAGGTGGGAGAGTGCGCGCGCAGAAATCTAGGCAATGTGTATAAATTGCACAGAGAAGACAGGAAAGAGAGTCGCGAAAATTATCTCTAACGAAACAAACTACGGAGGTAGGAGCGGGCCTAGCAGTCGCGAAGATTCTTTCTCAGCAAGTAGCGTCTTAATCTTGAAGCTCGTCCCTGTGTTATGGGTTTGAGTGAATTCCTCAGCAAAGCCAACTTCTTTGATCATGCTCATGGCCCTACTTTCCTTGCTTCATTTTCTAAGCACGGCGAAACTCAGCGAGGGAGGCGCTAAATATATTGGGGATCGCTTTTTTTTTTGCTGTTTTCTGATCTCCTGACTTTCATCGCGCTGGCTTTTTATTTACGGCGCGCGGGCTATTGCAGTTCCTTGCCTCAGCGCAGATCTCGCCGCGATTTCCGCCAGGCTGATGCCTATACATAGTCGGAGACAGAGCACCTCTCTCCTCGCCGGCTTTTTTCGCGGGCACCTGGAACGCGGGCTAGCGCAGTGCTTTCTTCCGAGACATGTGCCACCCATCCCTTGACATCTTCCTTCTCGCAATGGTATCGCTTCTCTTATGATTTCCGACTTTGGTTCTTGAATAGATGCTGACGACCCTAGTCAGTCTGCGTGCTCTTGGTCAGGTTGATGCTGACGATCATAGCCGCTAGCTCGATAAAAACTCTCTGCGTTTTCATAGAAAGGACAGCCCACGCGCGAGACTATTCCGCGCGTGGCTGCGTAAGTTTGAAAAAATGAGGTAAACAGCTTCCGAGTGTGAGTTAAGAAAGGTTGGTCTGTAATGTAAACACGACGTAAACAGTTTCCGAGTCTGAGTTCACCAATATGCGCAGGGAACTCCTGCTTCGTACCTAGATCAATACGCTGCAACTCTATAAACTTCTCCTTCAGGCAATTCTTCCGGGTCTTGCTGCGCCGCGCCCGGGCGGACCTGCTGGAAGACGATGGGCGCGCCATTTCCACGGAGAAAACCACGAAGGGCCTCGAGGCCTGCGCCGTCCACCTCCGCCGAACCCTCCGAGAAGAAAACAGTTGCTACGTTTTCGTCGCCAATGAAGTCCACGATCCACCAGCGGCGCGCGGTTTCTCCCTCCCAGACGGCGGCGGGGGCCGGAACTTCGCCCGGGCCGGAAACACTGACCGCCATCTCCTGGAGGACGAAGTGCCGCACTACTCCCTCTTCCGGAAGCTGCAACCCAGAGGCCACGCGCTTCAGCTGCAAGCCAAACGAGCCCGCAAGCTCGTTGGCGGTCGCGCCCGGTCCTCCAGAGGGCAACTGCATGTGGTCCAGGCCGACCTGGTGCAACAAACAGCCAAGCGGGTGCGCCGGAGCTGGGCCGCTTGCGTTATTTCCACCGGGCTCCTTCAGCTGCACCGCGCCGAGAGCGGGGAGGCGGTGCAACGGCGAAACCATCCAGCCGGCAGGTGCCAGGGGCTTGAG